TCATATAATATCGACTCTTATTGACTAAAACCATCCGTTCCTTCTCCTGCTCGGACCCTCGGGTATATTATTAAGGGAGGGAAAGTTGGCAAAAACTTCTTTATTATAAACTATCCTACTTTATGTGAATATCCTATACTTATGTATGTAGTATATGGTTATATAATACATATATATTATTTTACTTATGTATTTTATATGTATTATGTATTACTTATGTATTATATGTGCATTCATGCATATTATTATGTTTGTATTTATATTATTATATTATATTCATTGTATTATGCATTTTAATTAATTACTTTTATTTAAGTTAGATCTTGTACTTTTTTGCACCGACCATATTCTTACTGCATCACCCAAAGGTTGGCTAGCAAGAATACTTGTTGGCATTAAGCCCACCTATGTACGTTGTGCATAAAGGTTAAATAAATAAATAAATTAAGCTTGTATCCGCATCGGCTCACGAAATCAAATTGACGGTTGGCAGTCAAAAAATTGGCTAGTTTCCTAGGTCAAAAATAAATTAAGTCGATGTTTCAATACAATAAAATATTGAAAAATAACTATACTTTTATTCATTTATCGATCTGTACACTAAGTTTTAGATTTATTTAGCTAATTATTATGAAATAAGTAAGCCATTTGACTCAAAAATGTTATGACGTCATAGCTCAGTTTTTCATACGAATTTCATGGAAAAGTATCATTTTTGACGTTTGGATAAAAGTATTGAAGTTGACTAGTTGGAAACTACCGTATTGTGCGATTTTTACAGCCAAACTTACCTATACTATAAATGATTTCAAATTACTTAAACTAATATCTGATTGCTTAACAATTATTTTTTAATATTTTAATTAATTATTTTATGACAATCGAGTCATAACTATGGTATTTTTATTGCAAAATGAAATTCATAACATGAGGAAAAAAGTAATAAGTTTATATTTATTAAAAAATAAATATATATTTTGTAATGTTACTAAAAATTTAAGGTTTTCGGAATTTTTCCTTTATGCGTGCTATAAAACGTTGCTTCATGCCAAATTTCAAGATTCTAGGTCGACTGGAAGTACCCTTTAGGTTTTGATTCCCTTGCGATTACTTGCGAGTTTCAAAATATGCAGCTTAAATTGCTGTTTCTTTTGATTGCGTTGACATAGAAGTTTGATTTTGTTACAGCTTAAGTGTGTGTTAGTGTTAAGGTATTATAGACCTGAGTATTTAATATGAATTTCAATTTAATACCTCTACGCGTTTATGAGGAAATGGGTAGTAAGTTTAAAATTATAAAAAAAATATATATTATGTGATGTACCTAACTAAAAATTTATGGTTTTCGTAATTTTTCCTTTATCTATGCTTTAAGACGTTGCTTCGTACCAAATTTCAAGATTCTGAGTTCACGGGAAGCACCTTCTAGGTTTTGATTCCCTTGCAAGTGTCGAAAATTTGCGGCATAAACGGCTGTATCTTTTGATTGCGTTGGCTTAGAAGTTTGATTTTTTTACAGCTTCAAGGGACAGTAGACTTGAGTAATTGATATAAATTTCAGCTTCATACCTCCACGCGTTCCTGAGAAAAAGGGTCTTGACAGACGGACGGACGGACAGACGGACAACAAAGTGATCCCATAAGGGTTCCGTTTTTTCCTTTTGAGGTACGGAACCCTAAAAATAGACGGTTGAGGTTTTAGTCAGTAAGAGTCTGACACAAGTACACACACTGTCTCCCAGAAAGGGAGAAGATGTTCGATGAGTTTCTCCTCATAAAAAACTATTTAGCTAATTATTATGAAATAAGTAAGCTATTTGACGCAAAAATGTTATGACGTCATAGCTCAGTTTTTCATACGAATTTCATGGAAAAGTATCGTTTTTGACGTTTGGATAAAAGTATTGAAGTTGACTAGTTGGAAACTACCGTATTGTGCGATTTTTACAGCCAAACTTACCTATACTATAAATGATTTCAAATTACTTAAACTAATATCTGATTGCTTAACAATTATTTTTTAATATTTTAATTAATTATTTTATGACAATCGAGTCATAACTATGGTATTTTTATTGCAAAATGAAATTCATAACATGAGGAAAAAAGTAATAAGTTTATATTTATTAAAAAATAAATATATATTTTGTAATGTTACTAAAAATTTAAGGTTTTCGGAATTTTTCCTTTATGCGTGCTATAAAACGTTGCTTCATGCCAAATTTCAAGATTCTAGGTCGACTGGAAGTACCCTTTAGGTTTTGATTCCCTTGCGATTACTTGCGAGTTTCAAAATATGCAGCTTAAATTGCTGTTTCTTTTGATTGCGTTGACATAGAAGTTTGATTTTGTTACAGCTTAAGTGTGTGTTAGTGTTAAGGTATTATAGACCTGAGTATTTAATATGAATTTCAATTTAATACCTCTACGCGTTTATGAGGAAATGGGTAGTAAGTTTAAAATTATAAAAAAAATATATATTATGTGATGTACCTAACTAAAAATTTATGGTTTTCGTAATTTTTCCTTTATCTATGCTTTAAGACGTTGCTTCGTACCAAATTTCAAGATTCTGAGTTCACGGGAAGCACCTTCTAGGTTTTGATTCCCTTGCAAGTGTCGAAAATTTGCGGCATAAACGGCTGTATCTTTTGATTGCGTTGGCTTAGAAGTTTGATTTTTTTACAGCTTCAAGGGACAGTAGACTTGAGTAATTGATATAAATTTCAGCTTCATACCTCCACGCGTTCCTGAGAAAAAGGGTCTTGACAGACGGACGGACGGACAGACGGACAACAAAGTGATCCCATAAGGGTTCCGTTTTTTCCTTTTGAGGTACGGAACCCTAAAAATAGACGGTTGAGGTTTTAGTCAGTAAGAGTCTGACACAAGTACACACACTGTCTCCCAGAAAGGGAGAAGATGTTCGATGAGTTTCTCCTCATAAAAAACTATTTAGCTAATTATTATGAAATAAGTAAGCTATTTGACGCAAAAATGTTATGACGTCATAGCTCAGTTTTTCATACGAATTTCATGGAAAAGTATCGTTTTTGACGTTTGGATAAAAGTATTGAAGTTGACTAGTTGGAAACTACCGTATTGTGCGATTTTTACAGCCAAACTTACCTATACTATAAATGATTTCAAATTACTTAAACTAATATCTGATTGCTTAACAATTAACTAAAAAGATTTCAGATATTTACACTGGAATTTAATGTAATTTCAAATAATTTACACCATTAAATGTAAACAAATAAATAGATAGGCTTTTTGTTATGTATGTAATAGGTCGGCAAACGAGCCGACGGATTACTCAATGCCATTAGCCCATGGACACTCGCAAAAGAGGAATTACAAGAGCGTTGCCGACCATTTGGGAATTAGGGATTTTGAGTTTTAGGGATTGGGGGAGGGCAAGGATTGGTCCTCCGGTAACCTCAAACCTTTTGGTGATTTAGGGATCGGGGAGGGATTGGAGTAGGGAAAGGATTGGGCCTCCGGTAACCTCACACCTTTTGGTGATTTAGGGATCGGGGAGGGATTGTGGTAGGGGAAGGATTGGGCCTCCGATAACCTCACTCACCTACGAAACACAACGCTGTGGTTGATTCACGCCGGTTTTCCATGACGCCGTGGTATCCCTCACTAACTCCGGTCGACCCGACCTATTCGTGCCGAAGCATGGCTCTCCCACACTTAAGTAGGTATAAAAACTACTACTTTTTCAAAATAAGGTTTTTAACAAAATATGTTTGACTGTACTTATTTTAGCATAACGCAAGCAAAGTCGCTGGAAACATTTAACACAACCCAACTAAACAATCGAAGATCGCTTTTATAGGATATTTAAAGTATTGTCAATTATAGAAATCATCATCATCATCATCATCATCATAGCGTAGTTACCAGAGACTTAATCTTCCCTACCCCGTCCCAACTCTTATATCCACTATCTTCAGATCCCGAACCCTTAAAAGGCCAGCAACATAATTGCAACGCCTCTGTCATCGTACTTCCATGTCCATATGCATCGCTGATTGCTTACCATCAGGTGAGGCACTTATTTGCTACCCTATCTCATAAAAACAGATCATTTTCAAATGCCACTCCAATAGTACGTCACTTTTCTCAGTAGCCTTTCGCAACCAACTCCTGCAGTCTACTCATTGAAATAATATTCTTTCGTCACTACCACTCTTTCTTACAACACCTAGCCAGGCTTGAGGTAGCAAGCCCTATAATGTACTGCAGTTCCGATCTTGAGCAGAAAAAAAAGCGGTGGAGGTTTTAGTCAATAAGAGTCTGACACAAGTACACACACTGTCTCCCAGAAAGGGAGAAGATGTTTGTTTTTTTTTATTTATTTAATAGGTCGGCAAACGAGCTGACGGATTACTTGATGGTAAGCAATCAGCGCCGCCCAAAGACACTCGCAACGGAGGAGTTACGAGTGCGTTGCCGACCTTTTAGGGATTAGGGATTTGGAGATTTAGGGATTTAGGAGGGATTGGGGGAGGGGAGGATTGGGGGAGGGGAAGGATTGGGCCTCCGGTAACCTCACTCACACGGCAAAACACAACGCTGTGGTTATTTCACGCCAGTTTTCTGTGAGGCCGTGGTATCACTCCGGTCGAGCCGACCCATTTGTGCCGAAGCATGGCTCTCCCACACTCCCACATGTTCGATGACTTTCTCCAAAAAAAACTAAGCCCTTAACTTCGATTAACATACAAACATTCTCCAATAATTATAAATACTAGTCAAAAGATAGGTACTAAAAGATAAAAGCACTGTCTGTGTGATTCACGTGTAATCTGCCATTTTTGCGAATCTAATTTTGCTTATCTTCGTTTATTATCTCAACTTTAATCATTGATAAGTCAATAAATATATGAAATCGTATATATATATCCGTGAGTTGACGTTAGCCGGTATATAGCAGCATACAGCTTGGGTGTTACAATAACACAACGGCTATCAGAGGCTATCACATCATGAACTCCGCAATACTCAGTGTGCTGCTCATATCTCTCAGTGGCTTCTGCTACAGCGCTGACTCTGTGGTGGACGACACTGAGCTTCTACTGACCTTTCTTGTAAGTTTTTTTTTGCCTTATTAATAATTGTTTACAAAATAACAGTTACACGTGTGATTTCGTTTGTTTTTATAGAAATTACCTTAATATTATTTTTATATTTATTTTGCTAAAATAATCCATTAAAAAATTCAAACAAACATAAGGCAATAAAAATAATAAATGAAACATTTTTTATATAAATATTTTATATAATAAAAATATTTAAGTACAAAATAAAGCCAACAATAAAAATTGCAATACATGGTTGACGCAAAAGCTCGGTAACCGGCTGCTGTACAATGAGTCGCAGATTCGATTCCCGCATGGAACGCTTTTTGTATGGATCTAGAAACTGTGGTTCCGGGTCTTGGTGTGATGTGTATGTGAGTTTTATGTTTGTAAAAACATTCACGATACTTGAGAAAATCCAAGTATAGATGCAAGGTTTTTTTTGCATTGGAAAATTGTAAATAAAATATACCGTGTACATTAAGGGATTGGAACAGTTTGCCGGCTGCAGTCTTTCCGTCTAAATATAATTTAGATGTCTTCAAGGCTAGAGTGAATAGGCTCTTAATAAACTAGTGCGCCTTACCATCAATGATTGCATCACTGCTTACCATCAGGTGGGATCGCAGTCAAGCACTAGTTTATATCAAGTAAAAAAAATATACAATTTACTTAGGCATTCATAGTTCAGTATTCAGCAGTTTCCAAAGACAACTCGCAAAAAGAAGTTTTTGTACTCAAGGAGTGTAACTTCATGAACATCCATTCCAGATCCATCGTCATGGCGACAGGACTCCGATCGAATCATTCCTATCTATGAGCACAGGTGCTGAGGAACTCGAGGAAGCTTCAGCTAAATATGGATATGGACAGCTAACTGATGTAAGTACTAGTAATATATCATATGAGTGGTGACGCCAAAGTACCATTTTTACCATCCCTGGTCTATCCACGGGCATTCTAAGAGTCCTCTAGAGTTTCCACAACGACCATCAGGCAGCAGCTTTCTCTAATGATCCTGAACCTGCCTGTTAAGCGTGGAGAAAAATCCCCCTTAAGTAGGAAAACTCATGGTCTAGTATACCATTATCAGGGACTGCTGTGTATAGTTGTGTCGGACATTTTTCTTACATCGTAAATCTTTAAATTTACCTTGTTAATGAATAAATAATAATACTTGTTTCCCGGGAGGTGTCTTGACTCCCGGGAGGTGTCTTGTTCTTCTCTCTCCGGTTAGTCCTCGTGACGAGCTGGAGTGAACACTGATGAAGAACAAGCCCTCCTACCTCATTCTTGCCTTAATTGGCTGGCTTGAGTGGAGATTCGCAAGAGTAGGAGTTGAAGGAGACTCGGGGGAAGGATGTATCTCAGTAAGGTGCTGGTAGGGGTCTTGACCGTACTTCCGGGATTGCTCTGATAGCCGTGGGATGCCTCTCCTTCCCCAAGCAGCTCAACGTATGTTGCCTCCGTGTCGCTACATGCTAGCGGCCGTTTCCGGGGGCCCATTAATTGAGTTTGCCAGTCACCCCCTGCCTGTTTATCCGTATGTATCAATATTGGTCAGGGGCAGGGGCCATAGTATTTCCATAGTTATCATATTCACCAGTCCATAGCAACCCATACCCATAACCCTTTAAATTTTTACCACATTTCGCAATAGTCCTCCATCAACCGGGGATTGTCCTTGGGTGCACTTTCATAGTGCATACAGGGATAATTGCCGGCTGATGTCCCATTTCACTTATATTAAAGTTGTTCAAAGGGCCTCTGCGAGTTGGCTTCGGCCCCTCGTACGCCTTCCAAAAGTCCGGGACCCTGTGGTCCCGTGAGTGGAAACGAACATACAAATAATAATAATAAATATTCATACATAAACCTTAGCCCCATGAGGAGGAGTTCAAACTACGTGTAGCGCTATGCATGCAGGACCGGACATAGCATAAATATATGTACATAATGAGGAATATATAAAGCTCTCATAAAAAAAAAACACTAAAGTCTCGTACAAATTCTTGGGTCTAGATAACAAAGTTTCTCCCACTTGTACAGTATCTTGAAGCATTATGCACTAGACATTTGGAAAAATTTTTTAACACCCTACATGATATGTTCTAACAAATGCTTTGCAGTTGGAGTGGATAAGATTTTTCCACTAAGATTCTACTTATAAGCTTTCGACATAAAACTGTAGAAAAATTCCCATTAAGTATGTAATGTTCTCAAGGTCTTCAAAGAGCTATGTAAAGCAAACCAATCTTATTCTAGGTTGGAAAACGTCGTGCTTACCAGCTGGGACAGTTCATCAGACGGCGTTACGATGAGCTCCTGTCTCCAAACTTCAACAAGTCAGAGATCTACATCCGTTCCACTGAATCCACCAGGGCCAAGATGACAGTTCTAACTGCGTTGGCAGCCGTCTACCCTGCTCCCGAAGACAACTGGAGCCAAGACGTCAACTGGACACCCGTTCCCTATACCACCGTGCCTGCTAAATATGACTTCGTGAGTTGATGGGATAGGTTTTCTCTCATATGGATTTATTTTCTTGTTTACTTCTTCTATCATAAGAACTATACCCATGGACTCCGGTAACACTAATGGAGTTACGAGTGCGCTGCCAGCCTTTAAGAATAAGGAGGCGCCCCCGGTAACCTTACTTACACGGCAAAACACAACGGTGTGGTTCTTTCACGCCAGTTTTCTGTGAGGTCGCGATATCACTCCGACTTATTTATGCCGAAGCTTAGCTCTCCCACGCATGTGTCTGGTTACATGTCCTACATGGCCATAATTATTTTTCCAGAACTTGGCATCACTAAACTGTCCGACATTCACAGCAGCTTTTTATGAATCTGGTACACCAGCGACAGTTCCTGAACTGGATCAGTACGCCGATGTATTGGCAAAATGGTCCAGTATACTAGGATACAATATTTCAACACAACCCTTAATGGACGCTTACTCTTTGAATGACTTGTACGTCAGTCAGGTAATTATAATATTTTTTTATTTTATCTGTCAACCTAGCTATTCTCGCACAGTTTAACCCACTGCTTCTAAAGATCTTAGCGTGATGTTTTGAAGTATAAAGCCTTCTTCCATAAATGGACTAACAAACATAAAAATAATTATTCCATTTGAACCAGCAGTTAAGGCGATTTGCGCGTTCAAACAAACAAACCAACTCTTCAGCTTTATGATATTATATAAGTATAGATAAAAGGTAATAAATAGCTTTTATGTTTATGGAAGACGAATAAAATTCAATTAGTCCAATTATTGTTGTTGCCAAGGATATTAACAACGTACTACTTGATAATACATACAATTTATCGGTAGAGGTGACTTTTTAAGGATTTCTGGAAGAAATTGTTATTGAAGTAGTTTATATGTGTAGTATAAATTTTTTATTGGATTATTATTTCCTTTATAACCTAAATTTGCCTTAAGTTTGCCTAAACGACTGTGTTATTTTCTCTTCATAGATGAGTTTAGGAATCCCCCTGGATGACGACATAGCAGCTATTTACCCAGACATTGAGAAGATTGCCGGTATAGCTATCAAAGCTATATACGACCCTGTAGAAATGAGATCTCTGTCTGGTGGTAAGATAATACTTTCTACTTCTTCTTCTTCTTAAAAAGAAAACGTTGCCCCACAATAATATTTTCTCCTGTGACGTGGGTGCGGTTACAAACAAACAATTTCACATACACATCACACCCAGACCCGAAACAATAATTTGTGGATCACACAAAAAGTTGTTCAGTAGAGGCGATTCAGCCAGTTCCGACAGCCAGTTGCCCGGCCACTGCACCAATCGTGCAGTCAAACCGTACTATATTATACTTATACCTTTTTTTGGTTGAGTTCTGACTAAAACCATCTGGTAACCCCGGCTGATATTAATTCCTAGAAAAATATCTCACAGTCTATGTTTACATTATTTGATGGTGATCACACCAAAGTGGTTATTGAGCTTAGCAATACGGACAAGTAGGTACCTGCTAACTGCTATGATTAAAATTGGGAATGGTTTTTTACCAGGCGTACTCCTGAACCAGTTCTTCACCGTAGCTGACCAGGTCATAGCTGGAGAAGACGTGCAAAGAGTCCACATTTACTCCGCTCATGACGTGAACGTTTTCGCCTTTGAAGCAGCTACCAAAGTGGTCAACACTCAAGGAGTTCCCAAATACGCGTCAGCATATGCTTTGGAATTGAGGAAAGTTGTGAAGACTGGTGATTATATCGTTGTGGTAAGTGGAAATATTGATATATACCTTCTGAGTTCTTCTTCACGCTTTGGTCTTAGTCTTGCTCTTGCCGAGTATGTAATTGTTATTCTTCTTGAAAATTTTCTGGATAAGTTAGAAGCGAACTGAGTAAACCTAGTTTAGCTGATCGTCAGCATTTCAGACTGCCATTTGCGCTTCAAAATTTGCTCAGCATGTATAACTTCCACGTTCACAGGAACCATTATTCGATATTATTGTAACTTGACGAGCTTTTAGCAGATATTTAGAAAATATTTGCAATTGGTGGTGATATTCTATTCTTCAATCTTGAAGGTTGGCCTTGTATTGTAGTGGTATTAATACCTACCACCTTTAACTATTCCTCACTAGCCTCCCCGGATACATAGTATTAGGCTAAATAAGTTAACCCAATTGCTTAGGCAAGTAATATCCGTTTATCACTTTCAGCCTACGTACCTGCCCACCCCCAGTGAGGACGTGATCAAATACCTTGAGATCGAGGAGTGCGGCCAGAGATGCGCCTACGAGAGCTTCCGCAGCGTCACTTCGAACATCGTCTTAGATGAAGATGAATGGAGGACGACATGTGGCTTCTCCAACGACATGGTCATTGATACTTCATCAGTCGACTAAATTATCGTGAATCTGATCGACGACTTTCGCCAAAAGACTGAAATAACAACAAAAGCTTTTTATATTTTTGTATCAATTTTTTTTTTCAAATAAATTTTGCTGCATTTTTAACCAAGTTTTTTTCACTGGTTTTAGTATGCTTTATGAATATTGCTATTTGTGCGATTTTCCGATAGGAAGCCTAAAAAATGCTCTAACCTTCTCCGTATTAGAAGAGGCCTTTGCTCAGCAGTGGGCTTAATGAAAGTTCATAATTGGTTCACAAAAAACAACTTAGTACTTAATGGTAAAAAGACGAAATGCATTAGATTTATTTTGCCAAATGTTAAAAGTAACGTATGCGATGATATATTATTAAATAGTCAGAAACTGGAATTTGTAAAGGAGACTACATTCTTGGGGATTACTGTAGACGACAAGCTGCAATGGGGGCCCCACATTAGATCTCTAGCAGGGCGGTTGAGCTCGGCAGCTTATGCTGTCTGGAAGATCCGTCAGCTAACTGACGTAGGCACGGCGCGACTAGTGTACTTTAGCTACTTTCCCAGCATCATGTCGTATGGAATTCTGTTGTGGGGACAGGCATCCGACATTGAGTCTATCTTTATCTTACAAAAGCGTGCCGTCAGAGCTATCTATAACTTAGGTCGTCGCGAATCTCTCAGAGAAAAGTTTAAGGAGATCAACATTATGACCGTACCATGTCAATATATTTATGAAAACATTATGTATGTTAGGAAAAACCTACAGCTATTTGTAAAAGTATCTGACAAACATGACTATCTTACTAGACATAGAAATAGATTAAGTCAGCCTTTATTTAGATTAGCAAAAGTGCATAAGTCGTTCATGGGATTATGTGTTAAATGTTATAATAAAATCCCAACTGAAATACAAAATCTTAATGAAAGTAAATTTAAATAATGTATAAAGAAAGTATTATGTAGGAAAGCATACTACAAATTAAACGATTATATTATAGAAGATAAAAATGCTTGGAGGGTGGCTGGTTTGACTGCACAGGATAAAAATTTTTAAGGTTAAGAGGAATTTTGATCTCAATTATTAAATTATTCACCATGTTGTTAATTGTTGATAAACTGGATTTTTGTAAATGTGAGAGCCCTGTAACTTATTATAATTGAGTTAGACTTATAGTATATTGGTACTTGTGTCAGTTGGGAGTTGTCATGCTCACTCAGGAGTCTCATTGGTGGTGGCACGGGCACTGGACCGCTCGGTTCCCTATAATATGGTTGAGTTGGGCGGTGCTGGTGTACGTGTCATGTTCGTGAACGGACGCCGCCTATTGGGACTGGTCAACTCGAGACTGTCTAAAGTTGCTGTCCCTGAGGTTCATTTCTTTTTCGGATCCTTTGGTTAAACACTAATGTTACACTGTTCTCACGTAATGGAACTATCTAAATTATGTAACAATGCATTGTAAAAAGTGATTGAAAAAGAGTAACCATGGAGTTTCTTGCTCGTTCTTCTCCATAGGAATCTACACTTTGGAACGAGCAAATAGCTTCACTAGAGGACAGACGGACAGACTGACACATAAAGTTAAACCTTATGATATCTTTTTTTGCTTGACGTTCAAAAGTGCCTTTTTTGGTCTATTTGAAATAAAGAATTTGATTTGATTTGATTTGATTTGCACTTTCAGGCTGATGATGATGATGATGACAATTTTGGTGCGTGGCAAGAACCCTATAGGTAACTTTTTCGTTCCTAGTAAAACTTGCCATCGTTGTAGCCTAACAGACTAAACCTTACTCAACCTGCAGGTCGGCAAACGAGCAGACGGATTACCTGATGGTAAGCAATCAGCGCCGCCCATGGACACCCGCAACGGAGGCGTAACGAGTGCGTTGTAGACCTTTTAGGGATTAGGGTTTTGGAGATTTAGGGATTGGGAGGGATCGGGGGAGGGGAAGGATTGGGCCTCCGGTAACCTCACTCACACGACGAAACACAACGCTGTGGTTGTTTCACGTCGGTATTATGTGAGGCGGTGGTATCACTCCGGTCGGGCCGACCCATTAGTGCCGAAGCTTGGCTCTCCCACACCTAAATGGATTTCAAAGGTACTCATGCACATCAAGCCACAACTTCTTTAATAGATTATCGACTTTATTAGAAAACGTTAGAGGTGTAAATTAATGGTTGAAGATATAACATCTGTTATAGAGGGAATTCTTCAATATATTATCGTAATTTATAAAAGAAGTCCCCTAGGAAATTATCGCGGGCAGATAATATTTTCTTGAAATAGTTTAATATAAGTATTTCTTCTGGATGCTGGAAGCTTGACTGTTTCATGATAGAGGAATAGAGGGAATTTATTTGTATGTGTATGTGTATGTAATGTGTATATTTCTGTCACCAGTTCATTAAGTCGTAGAATTTTTGAACCTGTCCTTTCCATTTTGATATTAGTGTTGTGTTTCGCCGTGTGAGTAAGGTTACCGGAGGCCCTTCCCCTTCCCAATCCCTCCCCAGTTCCTAAATCTCCTAATCCCTAATCCCTAAAAAGTCGGCAACGCATTCGTAACACCTCCGTTACGGGTGTCCATGGGCGGCGCTGATTGCTTACCATCAAGTAATCCGTCTGCTCGTTTGCTGACCTATTACATAAAAAAAAGCTATTTTTTAATGTATTTTTCACGGGTTTTCACTCGTTCTTTTGCGATTTTAAACTTATATTATGTGATTGTATATCGTTGGTATACGTGATTCGTTGTTCATTTGAAATAAAGAAACTCTTAACTTTAGCTCTATAAGTTCCAAAAAATATGTGAACATAATCATATTTTGGGCATTTAAAATCCATAAACATATCGCTTTTTATTATTATAATGACCATAAATAGCTTTTGTTAATTACTGTTTTCCATAAATTTTGAGAAATTGTCAGTACTAAAGAATCTGTAAACAGAGTTCAGTGTATGTGTAGTGTAAAATGTCTCATAAAAGAGTACTTACTTACTATTAAAATTTTAAAACTAATTTAGGGTGGATTGTTTGAGGATAGAATAGACGTACTATAATGTAAGCAATGTGCATCCATGGCCATGATACGTCGATTGAGGGACAGTCGTAACAGTATACTAACCATACTGGCAGACAAAATTGATGCCCCCCTAAATTTATTAGACGTTGGGCAAGTAGGCATGTGCGGCCTGATGTCCATATCAATAATTGATAATTGTTAAAATATTAACTAATGTCTGATCTGAAATAAAGAATTAAATTAAATTTATACGTGTTTCTCTTTCTATCATCATCATCATCATCATCAGCCTATAAGTCTCAAGTTTTTCGCAAGTGTATTTTTGACGGATGTGCCTCGGTTAAATGCTGATAGTGTGAATAGTTTTGATGTTAATCACAACAGCAACTACGTCAATATTTTCCACATTACCTCTGAGGATGTTATAAATGGAATAAATAAATTAAAGACAAGTGGTTCTATTGGCCCTGATTGTATACCAGCCCAACTTCTCAAGTATTTGAAACACTCATTCGCTTCTCCTTTGTGTCACATTTTCAACTTATCTTTAAATAGCGGAATATATCCTCTACAGTGGAAAATCTCTCGTGTAACACATATACCTAAAACTTCTAACAAACTGTCTGTAGAGGAATATCGGCCCATTGCTATATTATCATCACCAGCTAAAATATTTGAAAATGTCCTTCATAAGTTAATTTACTCTCAAGTAGAAAAATATCTCAGTAATGCCCAGCATGGATTTAGACGCAAGAGATCCGTGGAGACAAACCTACTAACCCTAACTGAATTTATCTCTGTACAGTTGGACGAGAGAAAGCAGGTAGATGTATTGTATTTCGATTTCCAAAAAGCGTTTGACCGGGTCAATAACGATATCCTGCTTTTAAAGCTTAGCAGCATAGGCTTTTCCCCTAACTTGCTTCGGTTGCTGGCCGACTACCTCCGTGATCGCCAGCAATTTGTTCGGTTAGGGATGTATGAATCGTGTGCCTATCATACTCGTTCTGGCGTAAGTCAGGGCTCAATCCTTGGACCTTTATTATTTCTGCTTATGGTAAATGACCTGCCCTCTGTTCTCAAACATGCTAAATGTCTTCTTTATGCAGATGACCTCAAACTGTATGCTAGTGTCAGCACTATATCAGATTGTGGGGCCATTCAGAGAGACATAGACGCCATATATGAATGGGGATACACAAACAAGATGACGTTCAATCCTACTAAATGCTATGTCATGACTTTCGGTCGCATGCGCCACCCAATAGACTTCAAATATAAAATAAATGGCACTGTTATAACAAGATTGACCACCTTGAAAGACTTGGGTGTTGTGTTTGACCGGAAGCTGACATTCCATGACCATATTTCTACCGTTGCTAAAGACTCGTTCAGGAGACTGGGGTTCGTTCTAAGAAACGCACGGGATTTTCAAAACGCGCATGTCGTGCGGCTTTTATACAATACGCTTGTCAGAAGCAAATTGGAGGCGAGCTCTTGTATTTGGAACCCTTATGAGGCCAAATATTCACTTTTACTTGAGAAGGTCCAAAAGGCATTTTTGCGATTCCTTTATAAATTTCGGTTTGGATATTATCCATATTTATATCCAACCAAATTTCTTGTTGGACATCTAGGATTTAATACGTTGCAAACTAGAAGAGCCTATGACCAGCTGAGCATCATGCTTAAAATATGTAAAGGGATAACAGATGCCCCTGATCTGCACAATGAGCTGATTCGTCTTTACGTCCCTAATAATTACCTCCGAGGCCGAAAACACCGTTTACTAGCCGCACCTACAAGTCGCACAGTCGCCCGCGCCTCATCCCCAGTTCCCCGTGTTCTAGCTATGCTTAACGACCTCATGGGAGTTGAACCGAACTGTGATTTATTCGCTGATGATTATAAAGTAATAATGTGTTTTTGTATCAGCCTCTGCGAACGAATAGTTTAATATGTATTGTTTTGTTTTATTCTTTATTCGTATTATTCATATTTTATTCTGCAATTTTATTAGTATTTTCTTTTGTATATCATGTTCTTTTATCTCTGTGTTAATGTAATTGGTTTGTAAACCGTTTTAACATAAATAAATAAATAAATAAATAAGTGCCCACTGCTGAGCAAAGGCCTCTTCTCATACGGAGAAGGTTCGAGCATTAATCACCACGCTTGCTCAAAGCGGGTTGGCGATTTCAAACTTATAATTAGAAATTATAATCAAAGACTTCACCGTACGTCAGTGGCGTCCAAATAATCATAGAAAGTACATATAACTCGGAAAAAGTCACATTGGAACACACCCTCATGCATGAGAAGCGGGCTCCTTAACCTATCCTTCTATCCTTTCGAAGAATAAAAGCGGGGTGCTGTGTTTATATGAGCAAGGAAAATAATTCAAACAAAAACATGTAAAAATACAATTAAATTTGTCATTTTATATTGTCTCATTACAAAATTCATTGAATAATAATTTAATCGATTAAGGGCCGATTTTTCAATAGTCAGTAAATGTTATCCGAGGAATAACATTGTTGCTGTCATTGTCTTATACAAACTTTCTGACGCGACAGCATCATAATTATTCCGCGGGTAACTTTTATCTAACCATTGAAAAATCAGCCCTGTCTTGTGTCCACTGAGCAACATTTGATGCTTGTGTGAAGGTTGCATCGTTTTTTTTTTTTAAATTTTTCGTTGGAGTTTTTTACTCGTTACGTTTTGTTCTCTATTTGAATCTACACTTTGGAACGAGTACCTAGCTTCACTGACGAACAGACTGACAGACTCTCAATTTAAATGTTTCTAAAGTACCTTATACAGGATGTCCGGTGATCAATACATAACCTTAAAATGATTTTCATTATAATGTACATAAATGTCGAAAAATGTTTTCTTTATTTCCTCTAGCACCACCTACTTATTTATTTATTTATTTATGCTTTTAGCACAATGTATAATGGAGGACTTAGCGCCATAGGCGTTCTATACAAGTTTACCTTTGGTTGGTGGAGAAATAGAATTGGTAGGTGCACCTTCTTATGATATTTTGTATTTTTATTTCTTAATAACTTTTTTCTTGATATACTTTAAGGCATTTTAAGGATATCCATTCATTACCGGACACCCTGTATATGTATAGGTTTAGTTGGAATAAATTATTTTGACTTTGATTTTTGATATAAACAACATGGGTGCAATGTTGCGCAACCGCTGATAACGTTTCGCAGTGTTGTGCAACATTACCGAACATGTTGCATGTCAATACGGATGTTGGCAGGCGAAGAAAATCAAAACCTGGCTGTTAGTCTGTTCAGGTACTGAAAATATATTAGACACGATTTTTTTATTTCCTCGTAAAATGAGAAATTCATTGTTATATCAATAAAGTCGAAGATTAGGAGCACGTTGTTACAGCTCAGTGTAAACTTAGTTATGACGTCACATGATATTTCCAACGAATGAAGATATCGCTAAAAGTATCCGTAACAAAACAAAAAATGCGTGTCCAATGTTTTGAATTGATCTAAAAGACGCATAATAAAATTAAAATTATTTATCAATTGTTGCCTAGAGGTTGCGTTAGTCGATTATTGAGGTATCAAAATACATGTCATTAGAAAAACCGCACTCGGCTCTCCATTCGTTCTCCTTCAAGCTGTAGCTAGAAGTAGTAGTCCGGAAGGTTTCGTAGGCACATCGCTGGCCGCAACCTTCGATCTCAAGGTACGTGATCACTTCTTCTTTGGGAGTGTTCAGGTATACCGGCTGAAAATAATAATAAAGTCATTGGTTGTTAAAATGGTGTTTGGTAGGAGTACGGTTAAATGCCAAGAGATGGCGCTGTCATACATCGGATGGTAATGTGGGTATTTGATGTTTGCGCGAGTATTAATGTAGGTATTCTCTTTTACTGTTTGTAAGTGGTGTTTAAATAATGTTGAAAGTGCACATAATATAAAATGTAAAAAAAAATAAAAAAAAAATATTGGGCATTTTCTTTCCATCACCTATCTTCCACTTACCACGACAACATACTCTCCAGTATCCACCATTTTTCTTAACTCTAAAGCATACGCTGACGCGTATTTTGGAACTCCTTGAGTATTAACAACTTTGGTAGCTGCCTCCAACGCGAAAACATTTAGATCATGCGCAGAATATATGTGGACCCTTGGCACTTCTTGTCCAGCAATGATCTTGTCAGCTGCGGTAAAGAACTGGTTCAGAAGGACACCTGAAAAGAGAGGAAAATTAGAAAGGATTATATACGAATAATCAAGAAACAATCACAGAATAATAGGCTGTAATAACACAGGGTTAAGAACCATTTACGCTACTAACAACCAAGGTCGTGAAACAAACATAGTGTTGTGTTTCATCTTTTGAATGAGGCTACCGGGGGCGCGTTCCTTCCCCTTTTCAATCCCTTCCCTCCCCAATCCCAAAATCTCTGAAACCCTTAATCCTCAAAAGGCCGGCAACGCACTAATCAACTCTGTCATTCTTTTAGTATTGCGGATGATCATGGATGGCGCCGATTGCTCACAGTTAACGTAAGCTTTCTTGTCGCAAAAGTGTGTATGGCAAAATTATAAAATAAAAGCCGTATAAGATGCAACGATAATAGTTTTATTTTTTCGTGTATTTAAGCCAAAATAAATTTCTAACTTGACCTTGTCGAGTATGTATCAGTAATTTTACTCTAGTGTCATTGAAAAGTTTCCCTAATTATTAACCAGTGTCTGACATAATATATTCTTCATAGACTGACATGAGAGGAGAACAGTCCGGAATTTTTGGTAACTATACTAATATTATAAAGAGGTAAAATTTGTCAGTTTGTAAGTTTGTATGTAGGGGGTAATCTTTGGAACCACTGGTCGGATTGCCAAAATTCCTTCACTGATAGATAGCTACAATGTTCCTGGGTGCTATAGGCTATAAAACATCACGCTACGATCAAATGAAGCCGAGCAGCAAGTGAAACCGCACGAGAGTAGCTTGCAATTAATATCTTACCAGCAGACAGGGCTCTCATTACGTCAGATTCAAGCATTGCTTTCAGGGCTATAGCAGCAATCTGTTCTATCTCAGAAATAATATCTGCGATGCCATCTTCCAAAGGTACACCTAAACTAATCTGTGGAGAAAACATAATGGGTTTTATAGAAAACAAAATGGAGACTTATTAAATAGTTTGTTTTAATTTCATTACTAATTTCATAGCATTAACTTTAACTATGCACTAGATCATTCCGATTGGACGGTTAAAAAGTATAATGTTACACTTTTATACTTCATTCATCTTATTGGTAATATCATAAGTTGATACAAGTTTGACAGCAAGAACATAAAAAAACTAGTACTTAAAGTAATAAGTAGTAGTTTAAGTGTGGGAGAGCCATGCTTCGGCACGAATGGGTCGGCTCGACCAGAGTGATACTACGGCCTCACAGAAAACCGACGTGAAACAACCACAGCGTTGTGTTTCGCCGTGTGAGTGAGGCAACTGGAGGCCCAATCCTTCCCCTCCCCCGATCCCTCCCAATCCCTAAATCTCCAAAACCCTAATACCTAAAAGGTCGGCAACGCACTCGTAACTCCACCGTTGCGGGTGTTCATGGGCGGCGCTGGTTACTTACGATTAGGTAATCCGTCTGCTCCGAAAAAAAAACTAGAATTTTCTTCTGTATCCTGCGTCTATCAACATAAGATTAGGAACAACAATTTATGGGTGTAACGAAGAGTTGTTCCGTCCTTGAATCGATACCGCGAAAATCATCAACAAACAAGAGCCATTTGGTGAAGTCGAAAGTGAAGATCCTTCTCACACAAATATTATAAAAGCTCGTAAGAATTGTTTTTTTTAAGAATGGTATTCAATACAGATTAATAACTCATCTTTATTTCTTTTTAACTTGAAAACGCGAAGCGGGCTACGCTGCTGAAGAAAACTATTGATGCAGTGCAATGCACTTACCTGACAAGTATACAAGTCGTTCAAAGCGTAGGGTATGACCAAGGGCTCCGTTGATATGTCGTATCCCAATATATTGGACCAATTTTCCAAGATGTCTGCGTACACCTCTAGTTCAGGAACTGAAGACGTTAATTTAGACCTATAGAAAGATTCTCTAAATTTCGGGCAGTTCACTATTGCCAAATTCTGGAAAAGAAATAAAGAGTTTACCATAAGTAAGTCCCTAAAGGTCCCTATAATAGGAGAACCGTCTGCTAAAGGTCAAGATTATTGTCAATAACTCAAAACTGAATTCCAGATAAAATATTATTTTAGGTACTTAATTACGAAAAATCTAACTTCTACTACTCTCTCGCAGACGCTGCCCTAACAAAAAGACCCTCACAATTAATTTAATTTCTAATGGTGTGAAACAACCACAACGTTGTTATGCCGTGTCAGTAAGGTTATCGGAGACCCCATCCTTTCTCTCTCCAATGCCTGTGTGTACATGGGCGGCGCTGATTGCATACTCTCGTAATTGTTGAGCGTGATTGCTGAGCTCGTATCACATAAAAAAATATTTAGGCACATTACATCTTACAAAAGGTGAATCATTTCTAATTTATAAGGCTGTCCATGGGCGACGCCGATTGTTTTCTTTCCGATGTAATATCTACTCATTTGTCGATCTATCCCATATAAAGACTTTTATCGCTTATAGACAAACTCACAAAGTCATATTTAGCAGGCAAAGTGGTATAAGGAATCGGTGTCCAGTTGATTTCAGTGCTCCAGTTGTCTCCAGTAGCAGGGTAGACGGCTGCCAGCGCAGTCAAAACTGTCATCTTTGCTCTGGTGAAGTCAGTGGAGCGGATGTAGATCTGTGATCTGTTATAGGTCGGAGACAAGAGCTCGTTATAGCGTCGGCGGATGAACTGGCCTAGCTGATAGGCACTACGTTTACCAGCCTGGAATAAAAGAAACGGTAATGATGTTTTATATTGAAGTAGCAATTCGTCTAGTTTCAGGTTAGTCAAGGACCTTATATTTATTTCAACAGAACGTTAGGCTGCGAAACTTTCGTCGCGTGGAGAATTGTTTAACTTCAAATAGCATACTTATTTCTCTTAAATAGTCTAAAAATACGAATATTAATAATATTCCATAATTAATTAATGAAAGTGTTATTATTTTTTTAATATAGTTTATGGTTTTATAAGTTAAAATGTTGTCTTTTTGACCGAGGAAACTACCCAATTGGCTGCACTCATGTATTGGTCCAGAACATTCAAATCTAATATACATAAATCACTGATTTTCTTACGAGTTAGTACCTACAGCATCGAAAACTGTTCAGTACTTTTTGAGTTTATCGCGAACACGACAACAATTTTGTTTTATATTTATTTTCTTAATCTTAAATTACCAAGTAACTTACATTAGTTAGTTGTCCGTATCCATATTTGGCGGAGGCCTTTTTGAGCTCTTGAATATTATCGCTGAGTCTCAAAAATGATGTAACAGGAGTCCTTTCACCGTGTCGATGAACCTGAAGTATTTATTAAAACGAACATCATCATGATCAAATATTGGCATGCGCTGTTGTATAGGCTTTGAATTCCTGTAAAAAAAAAGGTGGTACGTAATTCAATAAATAAATAAATAAGGGCTGATTTTCCAATAGTCAGATAAATGTTATCTGAGGAATAAAATTGTTGCTGTCACTGTCTTATACGAACATTCTGACGCGACAGCATCATAATTATTCTCCAGGTAATATGATAAATGTATTCTAAGTGTGAGAGAGAGAACCCGAGTGACAGTAAAACAACGATTTTGTTGTGATTCGGCGAGTGAATGAGGATGCCAGAGGCCCAATCCTTCCCCCTCCCAATCCCAATCTTCTCCCATTTCTCAAATCCTTTACAACCCACAGAAGGCCAGCAACGCACGTGTTGCGAAACTTGGGCTTCTATGGACGGCGCCGATTGCTTACCATCAGGTAATCCGTTTGCTAGTTTGCCGACCTATCCCAAAATAATAAAATATTGTCGCGCGTTCGATCCCCGGACAGAACAACTCTTTGTGGTATCCATCAATTGTTATTCCAGGTCTGGGTGTGGTGTACACATTACGTATGTGAAATTTATGTCGACTAGTGTGTGGCAACGTTTTGTCGTTTTTTTTTTTTTGAAATGATCGTAGTTTTAGGACTGACATGACCACAGCTCAAAACCTTATATAGTACCTACTTAATTCAAGGCGTTTTTTTTATAATTTTTTTAAATTAAGCGTGATGGTTTTTTGCTCGTTCTTCTCCATAGGAATCTACACTTTGGAACGAGCCAACTTGTATCTTTACTAGAGGATTAGCCTTGATTTCTGATTAGAGATTAGACTAACACTTTTTAACTCTTTATATTTAACTAACTACTGTCTCGCGGTTTCACTCTCTGCACGGCTCCTACAGACAGTAGCGTGATGTTTTATAGCCTTTTTCGACAAATGGACTAATAACATACACAAAAATATTTGTTCAATTCGAAACAGTAGTTTCGAATATTGGCGCGTTCAAACCATCAAACTAACTTTTGTTTGACGTTCAAAAGTGCTTAAAATATAAAATAAATAATTTTCAGATACACAATGGTCAAAAATCTTTTAATACATGACATATCTTTTAATCATATATTTAATAATTTGTTGCTGTCCTGTGCGAGTCTAAATAAATGTTTTTTCTTTCCTTCTTTCTTTTTTTCTTTCTTTCTATATCCAATTGCAACTTTATTTGCTCCGTGATAACGTCAAAAATCTATTAAATGTTGAATGTTGTCAATTGAGTTATAATGACACGAAAACATCTAACCAAACTTACTTACAGATATTCCACAAAAAACCAAACTTCAAATCGTTGTCACAACTATTAAAATAAGAATAAAAAAGACTAGCAACGCACTTGTGACACCTCTGGTGTCGCGGGTGTCTTTTGGCAGTCATCGCTTACCATCAAGTGTTCCATCTTTTTTATCTTTATTTAGAAAGAAGGTTTTAATCACAGGACGATTATGACAAACTTGTAGTTTTACAAAAATGCGAGAATGTTTAATTCTATGAACTTAACTTAATTAACTTAAGAAGTATTTCATCTTCTCATTCGCGTCCAATGTCATAAGAAATAGAATATGGTTCTTACAAGAAAAGTCATAAGCAGCTCTGTCCCGTCCACGATGGAGTCCACATTGTATCGTAAACCTCTCAAACAAAACAACACGAAAAACAATAATGATGTGTAAACAAACATTATTTTAACATTTACTAAGACATTTATAAGGTAGAATACTGGTTAATATATAGTCGGAATTTAACACTATAGGATTTTAAATCGTACTTCGATCACAAATTCATTTCTTAAATTATTAAATTTATCACGGCACTATGCTACATGACATTTACAAGAATTTTTAAATAACTATCGCCGCCATTTTGTTTTGACGTTTCTTTGAGAATATTTGTTGGACAATGCGGGTAAGTTTGTTTTTTGTTTCATAAGTTCTTTTAGAATAATATAAAGTGGAGAAATTAAGTATCAGCATTTGACCTTTGCGATGCTCCGGCGGGTCGCTACTCGCTAATGTTATTTAGTTTAAAGTCGAATCTTCCAACAAAATTTATAAGCAGATATTTAACCGATTAACTTACTCCATAAAAAGAAAATAATTATTCGATTCGAACCAGTAGTTCCGGGTATTAGTGCGTTCAAACAAAGAAATTAAAAAAAAAAAACTTTGCCCCACATTAGGATTTTCTCCTGTGTCGTGGGTGCGTTTACAAACATACAATTTCACATGCACATCACACCCAGACCCGGAACAACAATCTGTGGATTACACAAAGAGTTGTTCCGTGCGGGAATCGAACCCGCGACACGTTGCGCGGCAGCCTGTTACCCAGCCACCGCGCAGTCAAAAATAGAAGATATAATATAAGACAAGATTCATAAAATTATTAATTTTACTTACACCCGGTTTCTGAAAGGGTTGTCAACGCTAAAATTAACTAATCTCTTGTCGAGTCATCTGATTGGTTGTTGATAATTCAGTCAACCAATCAGATGACTTGACAAGAGATTAAATTGATTTTAACATTGATGGGGCTTTCGGAAACCGGGCTTAAGCTTGAACTTCAAAAATTCGTCTAGACTAGACGATATTTAGTCTAGAAATACAGTCACGTATGTCATATGGAATACATTCCCAGAAATAGCTACTTACATACAAAAACCACTTAATTTTAAAAGATATCAAAGAACACTTTTGATATATAAGATTTCTTACTTTCACCACATTGAATCAAAACTTGGTCGCTTGGGATAGTAATACGTGATATACATACAGACATACAATCGTTTATTTGTCTACATATATACATAAACATTATAATATTAAGCTCTGTGTATCTGTCTGTGTTATGCTGTCGTGGTGGCTCGGAGATTAAGGTCCTTGCTTCTCATGCAAAAAGGTGCGGACTCGAAACCTGTCAAACACCTATGAGACTTATTCCGTAAGTATATACTTACTTTCAATGATTATATAACGAAGAAAAAGTCTTGAGGAAACTTGGACTTATAATTTCTAATTATACGTTTCAAATCGCCAATCCGCCTTGCGCAAGCGTAGTGCTCAAACCTTCCCCTTGTGAGACGAAGCCTTTGCTGATAAGTGGGCACTTAAATAAGCTGATGATCTAATGATGATGATGATCTGTCTGCATTTGAAAAGGATTTACGATGGTGATAACAAGTTTATTATATTGGTCGCCATCCCTGCTCTTCCCGTGGTTGGCCTAATAGCCAACTGTTTTAAGTGATACGGCGGCAAATTAACTGACTCTCAACGGGCGACCAAGTAGCAAGCGTACCGTGGCATCCTAACGCTAAATTAACTGTCTGCCATTTTATATAGTACCTATATCAATCAATATAATTTTGCTTCTGTACCATAATAGAAATTAGATCTTCCTACTTTTCTATGTACTTTGTTTTTAGGGTCTGTCTTAGGGTTTTTCGATTCCCATAATATAATATTTTCCTAATAAGTTATAGCTGGACTGACAGATACTTGATGATTACTTAAATTATTCTCTAGTAACAATTTTGTATCGAAATATTTGAAGCTCTTGTTGGTACTTATTCGAAGGAAATTTTCTAAACTCCACAAGCGAAATCGTATGAGGAATCATAGTGTTTGTTATAACACATGTAATGTAAAGCCAAATTGAAATAAAAAAGTCTTTTGGTGACTGAAATATGTTGCGAGTTATTTACAGTGTTGGATAAATTGATTTAGTTTTTTTTAGTGTAAACGTGTCGTAAAGGTCGATGTACTTTATTGCTAACTAGCTACTGTCGCGCGGTTTCACCCGCTGCTCGGTTGCATTTTATCGTAGCGTGGTGTTTTATGGCCTAAAGCACTCAGGAACATTGTAGCTATCCATCAGTGAAAGAATTTTGGCAATCCGACCAGCGGTTCCAAAGATTACTTCCTACATAAAACTTACAAACTTAAAAAAACATGTCTTCTCAATAACGGCATCTATTACAAAACCGCATCAAAGTCGTTGCGTAGTTTTATAGATTTAAGCAAACATAGGGATATAGGGACAGAGAAGGCGACTTTGTTTTATATTTTTTATAAGTCCTATGTAGTGATGTATATTTCTACTTTAAGACCTTGTTTACGTATATGCGGTGCGCCGTGCGTTTGTCGTGCATTGAAGCAGCAGACTGCGTCAGTGCCCGCGTAGACACTAACATAAAAAGCAATGTATAACATCGCTCCACGCGCCGCGTGTAAGTAAACGCGGCCTTAGAGAATGTGTTAAAGTATTCATTTCACATACTTACTTACATTATATTCCTATCTTTCTGTTTTTCTTTCTAGTACCTAAGTATACCTAGAATTTGAAATTAAATGTGAGTGGTGAGGTTTGGGCCTCCGGTAACCGTTTTCTGTAAGACCGTGGTATCATTCCGGTTGAGGTGACCCATTCGTGCCGAGTTGTATTTTCAAGTGTGAGGGCTATAGCCCTGACACCTTGAAAACCAACTAACTTAAATACCAACTAAGCTTATGATAAAACATATTTTATTTTTATTATTACCTAAGTACCTAATTTCCAAATTCCTGCCGGCGCTAATTGCTTACCATAATTCGTCTTCTCGTTCAGGTATATCTACTTAATTTCAGTAGGATTGTTTAATCTAATTTTGAGAAAATAACAAAATAAATCATCGGATCTTGGAAAAACAAATTAACTCAATATTATTGCCTCAACTACTTATTGTATCTTTCTAAATAAAATAGGAAACCGCTGTAAGTTTTTTTTTATGTAATAGGTCGGCAAACGAGCATTCGGATTACCTGATGGAAAGCAATCAGCGCCGCCCATGCCCGCCCGCATCGGAGGAGTTACGAGTGCGTTGCTGACCTTTTAGGGATTAGGGATTTGGAGATTTAGGGATTGAGGAGGGATTGGAGTTCCATTTATATTCTCATAATATTTACCAAATTTCTTAATAAGTAGGTAGGTATTCTACCTAAAGGTCCGGTAGAAAGATGACCTGGCTAGTACCAATATGATTTTTTCTAAGCTGTAGATATGTAAATTATAAATGTATTTAGGTACCTAAGTATATAGATACCCCTGATATTCCAATATTCCAACAACACACTTCTTATATTTTTTTATTTTTTAATAGCGGCTCGCCCCCGCTTCGCACGGGTCCAACTATCTCACTATCAAAGAGTCACTTTTTCCTACTCTTCCCCTCTACTTTTTAATATTTTCTTTGATAAGAACCTTCTCCTGACAATAACAAACAGGCGTTGTTGAGTTATGCGCTTATCAACACATTTTGCGATCAATTTTTATAAATAAAGAAAATTAGCGGTACATAAACTGCATTTGGCATGGGCATGCTGCTATCATTGTTGAAGTACTTTTTTATATTTTGTGCTTTGTTTTTTTATACTTTTTTATTATTCTATTTTTTTCTAATCATTCTACCTGCTACTTCTACTAAGTACTACTATTTTTCTTTCTTTCTAATAAACGACGCAGGAAAACACTATGAGGAAACCTTTTTTTTATGAAATAGGTCGGCAAACAAGCAGACGGATTAGGTACCTGATGGTAAGTAATCAGCGCCGCCCATGGACACCCGCAAAAGAGGAGTTACGAGTGCGTTGCCGCGTTTAGGCATTAGGGTTTTGGAGATTTAGGGATTGGGAGGGATCGGGGGAGGCGAAGTATTGGGCCTCCGGTAACCTCACTCACAAGGCGAAACACAACGCTGTGGTTGTTTCACGTCGGTATTGTGTGAGGCCGTGGTATCACTCCGGTCAAGCCGACCCATTCGTGCCAAAGCTTGGCTCTCACACACTCTTCTAGACTTTATCTTTCTTTAAATTGAGCAAGCGTGGCGATTAAAACCTTCTCTGTGTGACAGAAGGGCTTTTCTTAGCAGTGGGCATTTGTCGGATGATACCTATAATTCCTAAAGGTTAGTATGTATGTGCCTACAAAAGCACTTGTACTAGAAAAACTTACAATTTCCTAAGTGGAATGAAATCTTTGTGCCTCTGTAATGAGGCCAGAGCGGTTAGACGGAGAAATGTCAGGTTCTTTTGATAAAAACTGGAAGTGGCAGGGAAATATGTAAAAACTATATGGCAATTATTTAGAATGCTGGGCGGACAACCAAGCTTTGGTACGAATGGGTCGGCACGACCGGAGTGATACCACGGACTCACAGGCAAACTGTCGTGAAACAACCACAGCGTTGTTATCGCCGTGTGAGTGAGGTTACCGGAGGCCCAATTCTTCCCCTCCCCAATCCCTAAACCTCAAAACTCTAATGCCCAAAAGTCGGCAACGCACTCATAACTCTTTCATTGTTGCGAGTGTCGCGAGCGGCGCTGCTTACTGACCATCAGGTTACAGTCTACTCGTTAAAAAATA